AAATATTCCCAAAAAAGAATGAGGCAAGAGTTAGCAAAATATGTTGTGCATGCTAAACATCCATTTTTATTAGCTGGAGATACTAAACTTGAAAAATTTTTATGTAGGTCTTTAAATACACAATTTAAAAAAGTTTCTAAAAATACTATTAGAACAAACGCTTTAAAAAATTTTTATTCATACAAAAAATTAATTTCTATGTTATCAAATTTTAATTCTAAAGCTGTAATTTCTTCTGATATTTGGACATCTAGATTTAATATAAGTTATATTTGTGCTACTAGTCATTTTATTGATGAAAAATGGTTTTTACATAAAAGAATTTTAAGTTTTACTAAGCTTGAATGGCCACATGCTGGCCTAATTATTGCTGCAAGTATTTTAAATACTTTATATATTTATGGAATTGAGAATAATTTTTTTATTAGTTTTGATAATGATTGTAATAATGATTAAGTAATAATATTTTAAAATCTCAATTAAAACCATACTTAATATTAGATGTGCATGTTACATATTAAATTTATGTATTCAAAATGCTTTAAATATTATTTCTCATCATATTTCTAAAATTAGAAATTGTATAATATATATTAAAAGTTCTAGAGCAAGAAAACAAGAATTTAAATATTTATGTCAAAATTATGGCTTAAAATATAAGTATTTTGTATTAGATGTTCAATATAGATGAAATTCTACATATTCTATGTTAGAAAGTTGTATTGCTTACAAACAAATTCTTATTGATTTTTATAATGCAAAAATGCCACATGATATTATACTTGAGGAAGATTAGAAAATGGTAATTTGTATAAAAGATTTTTTACAAATTTTTTATGATGCAACTAATGAATTTTCGGGTGTTTATTACTCAACTAGTTGCCTTTGAGTTAATTGATTATTTATGATTAGTGATTTTTTTTTTTTGCAAAATATAGGAAAAATCCACAATTTGGAAGTATTATTGAAATAATGGAGAATAAATTTAAAAAATATTGGGAGAAAATTTCTCCCCTTTATAGCTTAGCTACAATATTAGATCTTATGATTATGAAAGATGGTTTAGAAGTTTTACTTGAATCATATTATGAAAATATGAATATTAAAATTGGAAATAGATAATTTATTATTTGAAATGTATAGTTTATATGAATTTCAAGTGGTAGGGCATAGGAAATTTTGTACAGGTGCAAGTTCCACTTCTAAAATAGCTATAGTATTAGATCCTAAGATTAGGAAAGATGGTTTGAAAGTTTTACTTGAATCATATTGTGAAAATATGAATATTGAAATTGGAAATAAATATGTATTAATAATTTATTATTTGAAATGTATAGTTTATATAAATCTCAAGTGGTAAGGTATAGGAAATCTTGTACAGGTGCAAGTTCCACTTCTGAAATAGCTAGTTCCAATAGTGGAAAAGACAGAATTTGGTTTCTAATAAATAAGAGGCAAAAATCTACAAATACTTCATCAACAAGCTCATTTACTGAACTTAATTTTTATTTACAAGGAAGTTTTTCTACTTTAGCTGATTCCTTCGATTTGGAGGAATGAGATAATTTTGATATTTTATCCTGGTGGAGAGGACATGAAAAAAAAAACCTATCCAATCCCTGCCTCCATGGAGCGTGATCTACTAACCCCTCTAGTGTTTACAGTTCCATCAAAGTATTGTTTTAGTGCAGGTACTAGGGTGCTGGACGACAAGAAAAGCTGCATGAATGATGAAAGTTTGATGATGTGCATTTGCCTTAAAGATTGGTTGGATGCTAAGGATATATTACAAGACAAATGAGAGCATGATATTACACCTGATGTTTCACTTGAAGTAAATGATGAAAATCAAGGAAATGATTAGATAAAGATGCAAGTGGAGGTAGAATTTTTTATTTTTTTGTATACTCAATATTTCAATTATTGTATTTTTTTCAATTTTATTTAAACTAGTTGTTATTTTTTCAATAATGTAATTTCTTATTTTCAATTTATAATTATATTATATTTTTTATATTTTATTCCATTTTTATATATTTCATACATCCATTGACCATTGTATTGTTTAAATTCAAGAAATAAAATTCCTATTTTTTTTTCAATTTATTGTCCATTTTGTATTTTGTTAATTATTTAAGTATTTTTTCATTTCTTTGTTAGATTTTTTATTTTTCCAATTTGTTCCCAAATTTCAAAGGAAAGTGAAATATTTTAGTTTTAGCGTTTACTTAGCAAAAAAAAAAAAAAAGAAAATCAAAATGTTAAAAAAAAACTAAAACTAGTTTGGCCTGGTTTGGCCTAGGCCCAAGGTTCAGCCCGTAGCTCAGCCTGAGACAATCCAGGCCCATGGCATGGCCTACAATCCACCTGACCTAGGCATGCGGAACGACCCGACCAAACACGGGCTTGTACGGGCTCAGACCATGGATTGTACCGGACCAACCCCCAAAGTATCCTAAGAAAGAAAAGCATGGTCTGACTCAATCCGTTGACTGACACAACATGGCCTGCACTTTACACGGGCTGCACGTGGGCCATACCGTGCTGACCCGATTTACAACTCTAGTTGTGGTGGTGCCAAAATCACATAACTTTCACATTAATTAACGGAGGGCCTATTTGTGGTGTCAAACGGGGCCATCTAGATATGTTTAAATAGTTTTAAAAACCATCGAATATCTATTTTAATTAATTTAGTAAAAATAAAAGGTATATTCAAGTAACTAATTCTATATAAATTGATTGATCAGTATAATTTGAAAACAAAATCAGAATATAAATAGGAAACGGAATAATCAAACACTCCGGTAGTCCGGTCCAATTTTATTATAGTTTGGATGGAATGTAATTAATATAAAATGTGTTTTACGTTGATAATGGATGTAAATGCAATTTTACTACTTTCATAAAAGCGATGTAAATATTTACATCGATAATCTTACTTGTCATTTACAAATTGAAACCGATGGCTGTACAACTGCATCAGTGTATTTTACTTTTATACAGAGTAAACAAATTAGAGGAAAGTGGGCCCAAACTTCAGAACTGCTCATTAATGCATCCATGGACCCAAACCCTAGCCTTAGCCCTAGCAATTGGGGGATAGGGATACATAGGGTAATTGAACAATCAGGCACTGAAAGACACCATCGAAAACCGAAACCGTATACATTGCACGCACCTTCACGAAGAGGCCGACGCCGATCCGATCCACCACATCGGTCATGACTTACTCGTTTCTATTTTCTATCTCCCGAACCAAATGTTGCAACTTATTCCTTGAATAAGAATAAAAAATAATTATAATGTGTAAGGCTCCCAAAGCTTAACTTAACATTAGGGGTGTCGGCGGTTCAGATTAAGCACCTCTTTGTTTTCAGGTAACTCACTTAGTGTTCTTTTCTGTTTTCAGGTAACCCACCCATTAACATTAATACATCATGGCAGGCATTGATCATTGAAAGCTTGAGCATAGGTGTGTATCATTTGGACACAATCACAATCCAACGAATTGTTTGTAAGTGGTAAATCTCTTGCCTGGGCTGCATCCTTTTCAGTTTTCAATGAGATTAAAAAAGTAGATCATTGAAAAATATAATTGACGACCTATTTCTAAGCTGAAAGAATTAGGCCCCGCGTTTGGGACAGTTTTGCATTTGTGGCGAGTTGCATTAATTGATTTGTTACGGTTTGCAATAATAGGATTTGGAATTGGAATCAGAATTAGAATGGGTTATTTCGATTTCAGCTGTTTGGTTGGGCAGAACTGGAATCCCATTTTCATTCCTACTGGAATAGCACCATTCCTTGCCCCTCCTTCAAGAATAAAATCTAATTTCTACTGATTCCAATTCTCATTTCCATTCCTGTCTAAACCAAACAAACTATTCAAAATAGGCCATTCCAATTCCAACTACAAACCAAAGGGAGCCTGCATTTGAAATGTTTATGTTGACTTTCTAAATTTTCACCAAACACATTTTCATGGGTTTTGGGAGGGTTAAAGGGGTAGCTGCTAAAAAAAAAAGTCATCAAATGGCTATTTACTTTAGCCTGAATTTGCTCTTCTTGTAGTATTACTCGTTATCAACCTCACAACACATCTCAGTCACACACTGAAAACATCTAACATTCTATATTTATTATAGTATTTCATAGTACTTGATTACTGGACAGCTTAAGCTGAATCTTCAGCTCAGCCCTCCAAACGGAACCTTAATCTTGGACCAACTATGAGCGAGCCGTGCGGACCGGACCACACAGCCCCGAGATTCCTTTCGTATGGGGAATGCCAATTTAAGCCATCCATGAATTTCCTTGCTATATGTAGTTATAACTACCACCATCATTGGCCATTAAGGGAGCCTCTGATGTTGTCCGGTTTCAACTGGGTCCCACAAAATTATGTCTTCCCAGTCCCAGATTCCTATATACTTCAACTCAAATGTTTGTGCCACGTGTACAATGGTTGACTAGTACACGTCACCTGCCACTTGTCCCCTCATCGACATATGGGTTGGTGTCACATGTATAGCAAGATAGCTATAAACAGTTAAAAAGGAGCAATAAGAAATTTTGAGGTGCAATTTAATGTGACACGGGTGCTGCATGTACCTCCCCCGAACTTTCTCCCACCAATCTCTCTACTTCCTTTAACTAGTCTACAATCACAAATGTCAAGCACACAATTAAGATAGACAGAGATTATCTTTTCTTTTCTTTTGTTTTTTCAATGAGGTCTAGCTGCTTTCTAACCATTGGATTGGTATCAGATGATGGTACAAGATTGGGTGTGATGTGGGGTAGATTCCAATCTTCCTCCTCATGTGAAGGGGACCCTCAAGGCATCCAAATATTTGCCACGTGTGTTCAAATTCTAAATAAATCCAGCCCTGAGAGAAGATTAGTTCATTAATTAAAACATGGGAATTATAACTTTTTCATAAGCAGGAAGTTTAATTTATTGACCATGTATAAATATAGGCGTTGCAGCACTAGAGAAGAAGTTACTTTGATACAGGTCGCACCGCCATGACTACAACAAGCAGAGATGAATCCGACTACGACAGTAGCTGTTCTTCGGTCACACTGCCGGACTCCCGCTACAGCTGGATAAGCGACTTCAGCTTTGGCAGCAGGAGCTCCGTTTCAGTCTGTTCCTTCAGTGACCACACCCTCTCTTGTGGTCAAAAGCCACACAAGGCCAACCAAGCTGCCTGGGAAGCCATGAAACGCCTCCGAGGCGAGAATGGCCAAGTTGGGCTTCACCACTTTCATTTGCTTCGCCGGCTTGGAAGTGGAGACATCGGAAATGTCTACCTCTGCCGGCTCCGGAATCCTGTTGTGGGATTGCCTGAGTGCTTGTATGCTATGAAGGTGGTTGACAGAGAAGCTCTTGCATTTAGAAAGAAGCTTCAGAGGGCAGAGATGGAGAAGGAAATACTGCGAATGCTTGATCATCCTTTCCTCCCAACACTCTACGCCGAGTTCGATACCTCTCACTACTCATGTCTAGTGATGGAGTTTTGTCCCGGCGGCGATTTATATGCTGTCCGGCAACGCCAGCCCGGGAAGCGTTTTAGCATCTCATCTGCCAAGTAAAGTTTCTCTTCTTTCTTTTCACTATTTCTTGCTGGTTTTCAGGTCTCTTAAGATAAAAGCTGTGATGGTTCATAGATGGAACTGAGGCTAACTAATGGATTTGAAAAAAAAAAAAAATCTACAGGTTTTATGCGGCTGAAATCCTTCTGGCTCTGGAGTATCTTCACATGCTGGGGATCGTATACAGAGACCTTAAGCCAGAGAATGTTCTAGTTCGGGAAGATGGGCACATTATGCTCTCCGACTTCGATCTCTCCTTCAAATGCGACGTGGTGCCCAAGCTCCTAAGGACGAAACCCAACCCTGCTGCTACATACAGGAATGTTAAGAGCTCAACCCCTTCATGTGCTGCACCCATGCAACCTGTGTTTTCATGTTTTCTGGCGTCTACCAAGAGTAGCAAGAAAAAGAAGGAAGCTGCCATGGGAGCAGTGGCACCAGAGGTTGATTTACAGAATGTTGATCCAGAGCTGGTGGCTGAACCCATCAATGCTCGTTCTAAGTCATTTGTAGGTACCCATGAGTACTTGGCACCAGAGGTGATCTCAGGGTTGGGCCATGGAAGTGCTGTGGATTGGTGGACATTAGGGGTGTTCTTGTATGAGCTCTTGTACGGGAAGACACCCTTCAAAGGTGAAAGCAATGAGAAGACTCTTATCAATATCATTAAGCAGCCATTAACTTTCCCCAGGATTGGTGTTAGTACCAGCAAAGAACTTGAAGAGATAGCCAAAGTTCAGGACCTCATAAGCAAGCTTCTGGTGAAGAATCCAAAGAAGAGAATTGGGAGCTTGAAGGGTTCCGTTGAAATCAAGAGGCATGAGTTCTTCAAGGGCGTCAATTGGGCTCTGATTAGATCAGCCAAGCCTCCTGAAGTCCCCAAGGATTTACGCAGGATCAAGAGCAAAGCTTCTTTATCAAAGTTTAGCAGCAGGAAAGAAAGAAAGCCTGCATATCAGCTCCCTGATCACCATTTTGACTACTTTTAATTGTAAATAAATATAGATAGATAGAGATGAAAAAGCATGTTATACTAATGAAAGAGTCTTTTCTTTTTCTTGGGTTTTGGTAGAGAAAGAAAGAGTTCTTTTGCTTTCTCTCTCTCTGCTAAAACCTGGTATTATGATTAAGATGTTCCTGTAATTCTTTTTTGTTTCCTACTAATGGAAGAGTTCTTTTCTGGAAAAGTCTTTTGATTTCCTCCTCCTTGTTAGATCCCTTTTCCCTGTATAAGTGCATGCCCTAGGACCCAATATGGAAAGGATAATAAAAAAAATATGGAACCCATAATTGTTCCAATTTTCTTTTCTCATGGAACTCATGTGCTGACAATAATGGCTCTTCATCAATGATGAAAATAATAATAAAAAGAAAAGCTAGTATCAGCTCTCATCTATCAACCATCTCTAGTTTATTTGGTGATCTTCTTTATTATATATATATATATATTTTTTCTTGTGGGCACCCAGCTCTCCACACTCCACCGGACTGAACTGAATCCCCCTATCGCTCGCCAATTTAAAAAAAGAACACAAACCCATTATAGTCACCTGCAACTTTTCCATGAATGCTCTGTTCATCAAGCTTTGCATATCCTTTGGATAGCATAATTTCAATCAGAACTCATAAACAACCAATATAATTGATGAATTAATTAATTAGATTTCACCGACACTAATATATTCCAACTGCTAGTGATTGAAGATATTGGGCTGATCTTCTCATTTGTTTAGTTTTACTTAATTAGTCTGTGATTGGATAAGAATCATGGGGAGAAATTAACTGTTTTTTTTTTTTTCTTTTCAGTGAGGAGCCTTTTATGATGGCTTCGACTGAAGACTACTGAGCCAGAAACTAGCAAAAGGTCAAGGTTCAAGGGATGTATTCGTCATTTTAAGGACTGCCGTGGCCAACCTATTGATGGCCTTTCAACTGAGTCACTGACCGTCAGCTCATGGATGCACGCGGGCTTTGGGCTTTTCTTTATGCGAGAAATACGACCCACTCGGCCAGAGTCTCTCGACAGGGACAGAGAGGGTGGATATTGTAAGTTCAGTAGATAGAATATTGGTTTTCAAGGACAGGTCCGTCCGAGAAGTCCACACTCCACAACCTTTAAAAGAGATGGGGACCTTGTGTTGTGGCTTCTAGTTCTAACCTAGTAACCTTCGCTGTGGGGTGAAGGGACCTAACCTTCTCATAAACCTGAAATGACCATTATGTCCAATGCCATTCAGAGTTTGTAGGGCGAATCAGTGTTCTGATTCGAATTGAATTTTATATTGGATTTGCAATTTTGAATTGAATTCGGATTGCAATAAGGTATTGTACAGCATTCATGGATTAAATAAGAATTGATTTCATGAACAAAATATATTGAAAGTAAATTTCATGAAGCTTGGACAGACTCTTTAGTAATAAATTGAATCTAATCGAATCATATTGGATTGTAGAGGGATGAATCCATATTTAATCTAAAATTATATAAAAAAATTGAATTTGGATAACATTTAACAGGATCAAATTGGAATCAAATCTGGATAAACAAATACCATTTGTAACCCAAATAGCTGAGTAGTCCTGGATTTGTAAGGGATTGCTAGAGAATAAAGAAAAAAGAACCTATTCCCGAAGACTATCTAACAACTTAAAGCTTCTAAGTTCAATTAGTGTTCAATTCTCATTATCCCTATTATAATTAATTAACTTTTAGCATAAAGTATGGATAGGCTGTATATTTTATTTGTCCATTGAGCGAGTATGCTAGAAAATAAAAACTTATACCAAAACTTTATTTAACACTTTAAATTGAAAGATTTTTCAACTTACCCTCATTATAATTAATTAAATTTCAACACAAGATATAAATGGGCTGTAGGGCCGAATTAATCGGAGAGCTTACTTAATTAACAGCTTATTTGTTGGAGCCATGGCCCCAAGAGGGAATGAATGGAGCCGCCCAAGGAACACACCAGGACACCAAGAACATGAGCCCGTGAACGGAGGAAACGACAAATTGTTCCACCGAAAGCCAAAACATTGGCGTAGTCACCGCTCGCCATTGCTGATAATCTGACCTGAGTCCTGACCTCAGGCTCAGGCTCTCAGAGTTTCAACATCGATGCAACAGCACAACACCACCCCATTTTTGTTTTCACGTTTCTCATCAACCCATCATGGCGCCATGACTTCCGGCTTTTTTGATTTACTATTCACGTTCATGTCTTAGACATGGATGCGTGACAAGCACCATTTTCAATTTATTACATCTTTTTCTCCTTTTCTTCTCCAGCTTTGTCTTTCAGCGTCGCTGGCGAGCCATTTTTGCACTTAACGTGGCAAAATTTGCACTTCACAGGGGCTCGGCCGGCCTAAATGTGCAAGAACAAACCCAATGTAAGAGAAAAGCTATGTACCAAGCACAAAACAAATGTCCTACACCAAATCAGCTGATTTGGCGAGGGATATTTATTTGGAGAGACATGAGAAGCAGCTTTTTGCTTTTGATAATTGTTCATATGAGAGGCACTGGAAGGGGCCCTAGAAAGCTAAGTTTAACCAAATACTCTTGAATGAATGTGGCCTAGGGTTTATTAGTAGTCATTCACTCATTTGCGTGTGTCCACTGTAAAATAATAAATGGGTCTCCCTAACAAACAACTAGATCTCTGGATGGGGATCTGTTGTGGGGCCAAACCACTCCTTGAGTTCATAGAGATAGAGGCGCCCCACTAATGAGGAGAGAGACACATGTATCCAATCAGGTCTTCTGTTGATTTCTGTCTGAAATATAATCCTAGTGATGTATCCACTCTGTTCTACCATCTTCCCAAATGAAGGGAACTCTATAGAGACTATAATGGCCAAAGCTTAGAAAGCTTAGAGAGAGAGAGAGAATCAATTCTTTTGAACATTTTATCATATCATATAGTGTAGAAAAAGTTATTTGATTATTTAGCATATTGCCTCTTATTGCAACAATTGAAATAATGAGTAGTATTATTCTTATGTAGAGACATGATCTCTAAAATGATAAGAACAACAGAGATCTTCAAGCGTCAATCATGGATCTGAACTTTTAGATGTAACTCCAGCCCTACCATAGGGACGGTTTGCCAAGCTTAGCTTGGGCTCAGGGAAAACAAAAAGTTAGGCTCACGCTTGTCTGTGGCTCATGATGATCCAAAAATGATGAGTTTGGGCTTGGACCGCCATGTATCTACCAAGTTCTGGCTTGATTTTGGGTCTCCAATAGTTAATATTAGGTCCATTAAAGCCCAAAATTTGAAAGCATGTTATAGGCCCATAATCCACGGGCTCAAGTAAAGTTAAGTGAAATAAAAATAACTTGCCAAGTTACCACGTGTTATTCTATCTAACAACGCATGTATAGTATATTTTAAAAATCGCTGTGCCCATTTGATTCACAGTAAGAATCAGAATCTAATTGAAATTGGAATTGGAATCGGAATGATCTATTTTCTCAGGGCCCATTTGGTTTTCAATAGGAATCAGAATCTAATCGTAATTGGAATTGGAATGATCTATTTTTTCCCACCCGTTCGATTCAGATGGTAAACGGAATCAATTGGAATGAATTCTCTTCGTCAAATGGGAGAATGGCATTCGACGAGAAATGGGAATGGATTTCGATTCCGCCCAATCAAGTGGGCTCGCACCCCATAAAAATTTAATTAGGCTCGACCCATTAAGACAAAACTCTTGAACGAGCTAAGCCCATTCAACACTAGACGTTTTAGTGAACACAAATTGTTATTCCACTTGATACCAGAGGAAGCTTCGGTTAGTCTTTTTTTTTTATGGTGTCCAGCCAGTCATTAAGTGACACGTGGCACGCCAAACTGTGATGACACCTCAACTCCATGCGGGATGCATATTCCAACCTGAGGAGACCAACTGGGCACCCCGCAACAGGGCAGCACTTTCCACCTCGAGAAAGATAGCTAAGGACCTCGAAGGCTGACCTGCACTCCTCCTCCAACCCGAGCAATCAACGATCTAGGTAGCCAGCTGACCTCTGGGGTACCGATCTACTGACCTGACGACCTGCATGACAGATTGGCCTTATCTCGAGCAACGTGCCTATCGATTCCAAATCAGGTGCTAGCACGTCGCCCACACGGCATAGATGACCCTGGTCTCTGTATGACTTGGAGAGACTGAATGAGGATGACCGCCAACGTGGCAAGGACACCCCTGAAGATAACGAGCAATAAGGTCCGGAGTCCCCGGATATCTCAGACATGGAACTCGAACCCCCAGTGCCTACAAAAGGACTCAACTCCTTTACAAGGTACGCACAATTTAGTGTAAACACAGCTCTCGTTTTTTTGCTCTCTGCTTTATTAGCTCGATTGGGTTAAGCATTGGAGTGCTCATCTAATGGGGCCTCAAAGCTGTTGAGAAGTATAGCTAGGGATGTAAATTAAGAAAAAAAATAAAATAGAAAAATTGTTGATAGATACTTTGGATGGGCTTGGTTCGTTATCAGAATTGGAATTGAAATCTTATAGAATCAAAATCAAATTGTCTATTCCTTCTGCCTGTTTGGTTCAGATTAGAATTGGAATTGGATTTCATAAAATATATATAATTCTCAAGGGTGCTTTTTTTTATGCCAATTCCTAAGGAGCGTTGGCATCAGGAAAAGAGAAATAAGGGGGATGTTTGGCTCCGTTGGCGTTTATTAAAAAACTGCCACCACATCAGATGAAGTAAAATGAAACAATTGTTTGGTTTCACCGTTTATCAATTAAATGGTTGAAAACTGAAATGCTTTGATTTTTATGCATGGAGCATTTGGGGAACGTTAAATTTTTGGTTCCCCAAATACCCCACTATTTATTGAAACCAAATGTTAATATGGCACAGTTTAATTGGTATTAATCTGATGTGGAAGGTAATAAAACGTTTAAAGTGAAGTTCAACCAAACAAAAAAAAAATGTTTAAAGTAAAACACATTTAAAGTGAAAAAGTATAAATAAACGTTTATAGTGAAACAACACAAATAAATGCCCTATCCATAAACGCTCACGAAACCAAACACATACATACAAGGTGTGGGGGGTTATAAGTTGCTTTTTTTTTTCCGGTTGGTTGGACCAAGGGGGAGATGCCGGAGGAATGCTATCCTCCTAGGAATGGGAATTGGAGTCTCATTCCGCCCAACCGAATGGCCATTCCAATTCTAGATCCTTACTCCGATGAACCAAATGGACCCTTACCTAAAAAATAATTATGCTGTTCTGCATGGAGAAAGAGTAGCGTATGATTTTTTTTTTTTAATTTTATTAAAGCACGTGGTTTTTAGTCGTTGAGAGAACAAAAAATAATGTCAAACAAACGTTGTATCTTTTCTATTTAAAATAAGTGTTAATATGACAACAGTTTTTTTTTTCTTTTCTTGCAATATATCTCAATATGTGAAAGGCTCTATCTAACATTCATTAAAAGATAAATTTTCTTCCTTGTCCAGATTTTAAAATGAAGATTTATAGATAGTTGTCTTACAGTGGCTACAAACTAATGAGAAGAAGAAGAACTTTAAGTCCAAGCCCAAAGGAATGGGCCCAATCAAGCAAAGAAGAAAGGAGTAGCCCTAGCCCAATTGATCAGAGGACGTTGGACCATCCATTTTAAAGGTCAAGATAAACAACCATCAATAAGATAGGGGCACCGTCTTTACTTTTGTTTTTAGTTAAAATATGGAGGTCACTTTTTTAGGTAATCTCTCAATCTCAGGTTGGGTGCTCATACTTATCCTTAGTACACTTGTGTGAATGAATGACACGGAGCTGGATGGAAGATTAAGGTTAAAAATGGTATCCACATTTGTCGGGATTTAAATTTAAATTTGAATCTATATTCACATTTGTTCAAATTGGATCAAATTTAAATATGGATCCAAGTATATCAAATTCAATCTATAGCATTTGCAACCCAAGCATCCATCATTTGGAGGGTCCACCTTTGTTTAGGATTACAAATCTTTTTTTTTAAGGGATGCCAATCATACTCTCTGAATCATGAGTACGGGATCTACTACCCACACAGCTTCCAAACTTCAAAAGCTTGCATATCTGTGGGTAAAAACATTCAAGCAATGTGTCCATTTGGAAGAGTTTTTATGCAGTGGCTTCTGGCTTTGCAGGACAGGCCTCATATGAAAAGCTTTAAAAGCTTTCGTTGAGCCAAGAAATCAATATTCCTGTGAAGATAGTTTCAGTAGCTTTTTCAATATGGCTCCGTCAACGCACTTCAATCAAAGCTGAAGCTTAAGCCCTCCCAAACTGGTTCTACATTGGGATAAGGTTCAGCTTTTAATCACTGGACTGTGGTAAATAAAATGGGATAAGAAGTGTTTTAAGCATTTAATAAGTGCCTCTTTTAAAAATATAGTCTAACGTTAAAATACTTTTAAGCCCAAAAAACACTTTAAAAGCACAAACTCCTGAAGCTTATTCAGATGCAATAGATATAGTACACAAATCAATGTCTTTTTTTACATCGAGGTATTCTGGTAATTACATCTCTTTAATATTAAATTAAAACTTGTATCTCAAAATGGTTTATAATTTTATAATGGAAACAAAGCATGTAAGACAAGTTTGAACTGGCTTAAAAAAATAAAAAGACAATTTTCATATTTGAAAAAAATGCCAAGTGAAAATTTTGGGGTCATTTTGAAAAAAAAAAAAATCATTAAGCCCCGTTTGGTTTGCAGGAATAGGAGTTTGAAATTGGAATTGGAATCCAACTGTTTGGTTGTGTAAAATCCGAGTCCCATTCTTATTCTTACTGGACCCCTGTCCCTTCTTTGAAAATGAAATCTCACTTCTGCTGATTTCAAATTTCATTTTCATTCCTGTCTGAACCAAATAAACTATAAGAATTCTGATTCTGACTATAAATAAAAACATCCTAAAATAATCTATTCACTCTATCATTCATATAGTTTTAAAAACCGGCCCAAAAACAAAACCATTTTGACCATTGATTCCCAATCAAATGATTCAATTGTCCAGTCTAATCCTAATCAAATAGTTTCAATATCCAAAACCAGATCCAAAGTTATAACCGATTTTAAAATCAAATGGGCCAACCATCCAATCTGATCGGGTTTTCAAAACCATGATCATTCATTGTATATCGCTCCAAACTAATTTAATCGTCTAAAACTTTTTTAAGTTTTTTATTAAAAAAGAAGAGAAAGCAAAGAACTTTATTTTTGAAGGCTAAGAAAGGAAAGAACTTACACAGGAGTAACACCTATCAAAAATATAAACAGTATAACTGTAGAAGATTCGAACTAATTAATAATTATCATTGGAATATTAAATTAGGGAGGATTAATGGTCAGATCAGCGACCAAAAAGCAAGAAAACACAGGTCATGAGTGCACGTCACGTGACTACAATATGCTACAACAGTCAAACTGCTGGTTATCCACTAAATAGGAGAAGAGACGTTAGATGTGGAACACGTGGCGTCATCGTAGGATTCTTTACAGTTTGATAGGCACGAAGGACGATTGCCAGGTTTGTCACCACCCACGGTTTTCCGAGATCAGCTTCATCCAAACCGATGGCCACAATTATTTACTTTTTCTCCGTGTACGGTAAAAATATAGGACGTGATAGAATATGCGCGTCAACAACTTTATGCCCTCCGTGGTACACATTATTTACACTCGCGATCTCCTTCCCTGCAAAATCTAATGCCAATAATACCCTCTAACATGTATTTCTTACTTCTTGATGAGAGGGCTAGATCGTCAATTCATGCCCCGCTAGAACTGGAAGTCTAATAAAGAGAAGCAGGGGTAGTATGGGGACAAGATCCGAGCAAGTACTGAACAAATAGTGAAGGAAAGCAAACTACAGACTGGGACGTCGGACGGAAGCTGAAAACCATCAAACTCCGCTCCCAAAACCCTGAAACCACTCTTTCCCTCTCCAAACTTTTCTCATCCTATAAATATGGCCAACCTACCATCTCCCAAATTCATGCAGTTGCAGTCTCTAGAAGCTAATCTAATCTTTAAGCTTACTTTTGCTTTTACTCTTTCTCTTATCTCCTCGTTTTTCTCAATTATCCAATTCAACTTCTTCAGTGACTTTACACTCATCTTCTGAAGAAATGGACAAAAATGTAGCTCAGTCCCCTCTTGAGGGAAATGGGTTGGCTTCATTTGACCAGAAACTAGCCATGGCAAAGCGATGTTCTCATGGTATATGATTCTTCTCTTCTGTTTTCGTGTTCATTCAACCTCTACTTTTGTTTGCAGTGCAAAAGCAAAAAACCCAATTTATTGTTCAGTTCATCCACCATCCATTTAAGCTCGATGAGCTGATGGTACCTGGGTTGTGATAATGCCCAACATTCTGAGATTCCTTGTGCGCATCTGCACCCTGTCTATCCACATATGCAACAGATCATCGCATTGCGCAGGCTGTGGTTTATGGGTTGTCAGATGATCTCTTTCTCTCTTTTCTTCAGAAAGATTGAAGCAAACCCATCTARCAAAAAATTCCGCTTGCTTCTGTGTCTCATTTTCAAGTTCTCCTATCACGATTTTGAAAATTTTGTTCTTATTTTCAACAGAGGGCGTAATGGCTGGGGTAAAGGCGGCTGCTCTGGCGGCCATTGCTACTGCAATTCCTACTGTAAGCTTCTGTAACATGGTTAGGAGATAGTACAGCCCTTTATTTTCATATCGATAACACAACTCTGTTCTGCTTCGTCTCACGCAGTTTGCAAGTGTTAGAATGCTGCCTTGGGCCAGAGCTAATCTCAACCCCACTGCTCAAGCTCTCATCATCTCTACAGGTCTGCTCTCTCTCTCTCTCTCTCTCTCTCTCATTAAATTTCTGTTTCTTAATGTACTTGATACTCCGGTGGCAGTGGCTGGTTCCGCATATTTTATAGTTGCAGACAAGACAGTGCTGGCTACGGCAAGGAAGAACTCATTCAAGGGTCACACTGACACAGATGCTAACTTTTAAGTCGGATCCAGACATGAATCGGCTCCCGGAGTCTTTCTGTTTCTCTCTCCTTCCCTTTCGTCTGGAGTAGGGTCCCTTCCGTTGTATGCAAGCCCAAGGTTGTCAATGTAAATGTCTGATTATAAATAAGGAAATTGGGTTCCGAATTACGATCGAATCAGAATTTCGCAATTTCCTGGTTTTAGATGGTATTATAGCATGGGAGTTTTATCAAATAATACATAATGACTTTTTATTTACATAGAATGATAGAAGGGAAGAATAATTTTCCAGAGTAATGCAAAAGGGTAGATATGAGAGATGGGTAATTTCTTATAAAGGACTTCTCAGTGTAGAGTAGAGCTCAGGCCGAAATTAGTTTAGCGTGGTAAGTTGAGATTCTGCAAAGCAGATGCTACAATTTAAGGGAACCTATCTGGGGTCTAGGTTGGATCTGTTTGGGTCACAGTCGAAATGGAATTGAAATCCTTCCGAATTAGAATTGGAATGGTCTATTTCTCTGCTTGGTTCAGATATGAATCTAAACGGGAATGAGAATACTGGAATGGGATTTCATCCTCAATGGAGGAGGAGGGATGGTCATTCCCTTAAATGGGGAATCCCTTTCCATTTTAAATGCAATGAGATTTTTGTTCTTGAAATGACCCATTTCGATTAGAGACCTCTATCAAAATAGATGTTTCCTATCACTTGAAAAATTAAGGGGTTGTTTGTCTAAAGGATTTCATTATTAATTGTCTCAGACAATATTAATTCCAAATCTATTTATACATAGAAAACCAAAACCACAGCAGCAATATCTTATGGTTTTTTAGAAAGAAGAAATGCCAAGAGAAACTGATTTGCCAATACCACTTTCGGTCTTACCCTCCCAACCGATTTGGTAATTCACCTTGAAATTTTTCATTTTTTAGGCTGATCAATTCCTCGAAAATAAGTGGAGGAAACGGTCACTCAAGATTTTCGTGTATGGGGTGATTTTCAAATCCAAGGGAGATAACCCAAGGGATTTGGTCGGAAGAATTGCTCTGTCAATTCTATTCTGTGTTATAAATTAAGGGGCTGCAAATTAGATTTTTGAGGGGGATTGCTGTCCAAAAATCCCTATAAATTAACATGCTCTGATTCACGAATGCACGACATATGAAGGGTTGCAAAAGGATTCAATTTCAATATTAAATATCATTACTAAATTAATATAAAATGATAAAAATATTAACCATTAATAGTAATTATTAACCATGTTTGTCTCGTTCTACATATTGAATATTGATAATGCAAATTTCAAATCTCAAAAATAGATGTAAGAATTACCACCTTTCTCCTACCTGACCTACAAAAAAATTCTTAATAAAGCTGAAACAGTATCATTTTACTTCTCATACTAGCAGAGGTAGGAAAAAATTTTGTGAAAGGTAAACTTTTTAATTAAAAGTTTATTGAAAAAGGATCTATTTAAAATAAATAAAAAATTATGAATTATAATATATTTAATTTCATAAAATAAAAATAAATAAACAAATAAATTATCACGTCCATCGGGCAATTGAGTGAAAGAGGGAGAGATGACTTTTATCATTGTATTTTTGTTTTATATAATGAAATAATTGTAAATAGTTAAATAATAATTAATTTAATTTAATAAATAAATAAATTTATAAAATAAATGAGATAAATAGACCAAGCAACTAAGAGAGAAATATAAATATATACACGATTCTATGTCTTATTTTGCTAGCAATAATAATTTGTTAGATTATTAAATTATTAACTAATTAAATAATTTAGTAAAATAAGTAAATAAAAACTTTATGTATTATCAACAACGATTGGTAAATGCTATCTCAAATTAATTAATTAATTAAATAATTAATTAATTTAGCACTATTAATGGGTCGGGCTGAACTACTAGACTAYAGAGTTCATGAACCGGCTTAGCCCAGTTCGTAGCCTAGCCTAGTCTAAGACTTGTCCCACAGACCAGCCCGGCCTATGGCATGGCACAGGCTCGTGCTAAAATAAAATTTTAAGATCTTATTTAAATTTTTTGTACATTTTTTAATTCATGTTAAAATTTTCATTTTGTTTTTAAAACATGGCTTAGCCCGAGTTTGTAGACCTGTTCATGGGTTGGGTAGCCCAACGGGCAGCCCAGCTCAGCCCGATAATTTTTGGGCTTGGGCAAAATTTCAGGTCTATGGGCTTGGACTTGGGCCATATATTATATACAATAATTATATAATATATAATTTTATTATATTATTTCATTTTATTATTGCATATATAAACAAGGGTAAAATACAAAAACCTCCCTTAAAGTTTCTGACAATAATAAAAAGTTTAATTTTAACAAAAACCTCTCATAGACTTTTAAAGAATTTAACAAAAACCTCCCTTTCGTCACTGACGAAAACGTTAGCATACATATACTTTTACTGAAAAACCCCATTTGAAAATTGACCAAAAAACTCCCTTCAACCTCATTATACTCTTCTAATCCTTGAACTTGACTGTTTGAAGATGAGGAACGCAGCTATTTCGATCATTCATCCAAACCCTATCGGTTCAAAAACAGAGTAATCCTGAAATTCTGTCATTTTCTTATTCTTTCTTTGCTGTTTTCTTCCTCCTCTTTCAATATTCCTTGAAACTCCATTGACTCAAGCAAGAAGAAGCAGTTGTTGACTCTTTCAATGTTCCTCCTCTTTCACTGCTGAAGCTTACTCCAGTCAGATAAAGGTGCAACATCCGATGCTTGGGACAATGGGAAATGCAGCAACTCATGCATTAAGGATGATACAAGTGGCAAATCTGACTCAGTCTCAACCAAACTAGTCAAGGAAGCTATGCTGAACCCTCACCATCTATAATCAAGGATCTTGTGCCTAATGGGAAGGAGGTTCATCATCTACAGTTATACTTTGTCCATCACCAGTCAAGGAAGCTAATGGGAAAATTCATATAAAATAAAATTTTAATATCCTTTTTAAATTTTTTATTTATTTTAATTTATATTAAAATTTTCATTATTATTTTTAATTAAGAAAATGGCTTAGCTTAATTCGTGGCTCAGCCTGGCCTAAGAGTTGGCCAATGGTAGGGCACGGGCCCGCATGGGCTCGGGCCGTATATTATATACAATAATTATATAATATATAATTTTATTTTTAGTTTTATTATAATATTTCTTTTTATCATTGCATATATAAATAATTATATACATTAAAAATCATATAAAATAAAATTTTAAGATCTTTTTTATTTTTTATCTATTTTTTTAATTTATATTAGATTTTTCATTATTTTTTTCAATTTAAAAAAAACATGGATTAACCCAATTCACAACATGACACAAGCCTATGCGGACTCAAGCTAAGGGTTGTGCTGGGCCGATCCCCGAAAGTATCCTAGGGAAGGAAAACATGGCCAATACAGAATGGCCGAACACAGTCCGATTGTAAATAAAATGAGAAATAAAGACGATTTTTAATCAATATACAAAAGGTAGAAGCTTAGTGGCATCATTGTAAATAATTAACAATGACAGAATTGTAAATAATTAGATGTTCATTATCAAATATGAAAGAGGAAAAGGAGAAAGGACAGGTTATGATTGTTTTTTTTTCATTCAATGGCATCATTATAATTAATTGAATTTGTAAGGTAATGGTTAAAAGCATAAAAAGAGAAAATTATAAGATTTCATTTAGGTTATAAAAAAAAAAAAATTCATTTGACAAATGCACACTAATGTCCTTTGCTTTTGGTTTATATATATAGATTACTTCTCTCAGATAAATAGCCATGCATATTGGTATTTTCATTTTCTCTAGACACATTAAGATCACATCATCTCACTTCAAAAGAAACAAAACAATGTATCTAAAAAGAAAAATAATAATGTAAAATGAAATTAATGATTAAAATATCCATATGTTCTACAGTACTCAAAGTTGAGTATTGGTCGTGGTATGATAACTTATCACTTATTTATTTTTATATTATTATTTTATAAGTATTAGAGGGATGGAATAGACTAGGGGGTCGGATTTGGTCCAATTCGATATGGTCTAATATGAATCCATTTCTAATGGACCAGGTCCAATCCAATCTAGTGAAAACTTTTGACCATTTTGGACCTGTTTAATTCAATTTCTGGACCATTTAATCTGTTCAAATTGGTTTTAATTTAGATTGATTTCAACCCAAATTTGATCCTTGACACCTGTATTCTTATCTTCTATCAATGGAACAGATATCAACCCAATCTATTACGGATGGATCAGGTCCAATCCAATAAATACTTTGTATTAGACTAGTCTAATTCAATGTGTATGTGTCTTATTGGTATGTCCAATCCGTTCCAACCCAAAACCGGTGCATTGACACCCGTAGATCCAATAGACCATCCCAAAGTTTTAAATGTAAACTAGAATTTGCACTCTAGCTAATGAATTTTTCATGCGAAAAGTCGCCTAGGCCTCACGTCAAAACCACCATTACTTTACTCAACTAAGAAAGTAAGAATCGCCCTTCGTTTTATCAATCAAACAACTTCCCAGGCCAGCTGATGATTCACTTGGAAAGTGAGGATATCAGGGAATTACAAAACAGTAGACTCCTCCGACGTTAGAATTCAACCAAAACCATCAAACTCCAGTCCCAAGTCCCAACTACCCAGACCATGTCTTCCACATTTCTCCCCTAAAAGTTCTACTTATAAATAACCAACCACCCATCATCCCAAGCTCATTCCTGGACCCTGGTCTATCGAAGAGTAGTACTCGTCTCTAAAATTTATTATATATATCATCACCTTATTTACCTTTGTGCCTCTCTTATCAGCCATCAGTTCTAAACATAAATTATTTTCCTTCCTTCCTTGTTTCAATAGCTCTATAATGGCGAAAAATGTACCCAAGTCCTCCCTAGACAGAAATGGGCTGGCTTCACTGGATCAGAAGCTCGCCTTGGCAAAGAGATGTGGTCATGGTATATAATTATAATTATATTCTGTGTTATTGTCTTGTTCATCAGCTTTAGATCGATTAATTTCGTAGAAATTAGTCTATTAGAAAAGAAAATGATTCCAAGCGTAGCTTTCATGGTGTACAAGTGAACTGTCATATATAATGCTTTCTTTCCTTTATTATGGGACCCATGCAGTAGCTCTCTCTCTCTCTCTCTCTCTGTTCATCTTTAGTCTGTAATTAGACTAATAACTCGACTGTGTTGTTCTGAAACAATAGAAGGCGTCGTGGCCGGGGCAAAAGCTGCTCTTCTTGCGACTGTTGCTACTGCAATTCCTACCGTAAGTCTTTCTCATAAGTCCTAACCAGTTCTAATAGAATTGAAGGGTCATTAATTATATATTGACATCCTGCTTCACATGCAGTTCGCTAGTGTAAGAATGCTGCCTTGGGCTAGAGCTAACCTCAACCCCACAGCTCAGGCTCTCATCATCTCTACAGGTTAATTACCATCATCTTCTTCTTCTTCTTGTTGATAAATTGAAAAGTTGTGCTTTTTAATGAAATTTGAAACTTTGATGGAATGCAGTGGCAGGTTCCGCATACTTCATAGTGGCAGACAAGACAGTTTTGGCCACTGCAAGGAAGAACTCATTCAAGGGTTACCCAGACATTGAAGTCTAACTAGCTACTCCTGAGTTGGAACCAGACGCCAAACGGATCCTGTATTTTCTTCTTTCTTATTAGAGTACTGGAGTGGATTGTATTGGACGTTGTATGTATTATGTAAATCCAATTCTATATATGTATATGTGACCATATATTAATTAAATTGGTGTTTGGATCTATTCGCATTTTATCTGTTCCTTGCTCCTCATGACCTTCAAGTATCCTATTTTATTCTCCAATTAACAAATAAAAGTAAAATCACGTTCTGTGTTAATAATCCCCAAAGTCATTAAGGACTACAACTCAAATTTTAACGTAAAATCAGTAAGGCCGTGTTTGAGTCATGACAAAGAAGAGACCACAGTTGGCCATCAATTAGCCTAATCACTATAAGTTGATTTTCTTTTCTTTTCTTGTTTTTTTTTTTTTTTTGGAAAAAATATCAGTGAAATGTTCATGACCAAAGGGAAATAATTATAAACGGTTTACTTGAGTTGTTATCCATTATCAAAGCTCATTAATTATTTCCAAAATTTTTTTCTTGGGCGTGGCGTTTGATAAGTTTGATGTATCAAAAGTCGAAAAACTATTATTCAGGTTTGAAATCTGAATAGGAAGTAGAAATGATTTTTAAGTTTTTAGAGGCTCTCGTTTTAGTTGGAGCAACTCTCTAATTACTAGTTTACCTTAGAAATAGATTGTTTGATAATATTATAAATAACAAAAATAATATTTAAAAATATTATTCTATTAATAAACAAATATTATGATTTGTTAAAATAAATAATTATTTATTATTTAATTTATAATACAATTTATTTATTATTATCTATTAATAATAAATGAAAATAATATTTTTTAATATTTGAAATAATAATAATAATAATAATAATAATAATAATTCAAGGCATCAATTACTATTATTATTATTATTATTGTTATTATTATTATTATTATTATTATTAAATAGATGATAATGTTGAAGGCATTAATGACATTTCGTCATTGCATTTGAAACGCATCTAATTCTAATATGACATGAAACTAGGTCTTACCATTTTAGACTTTTTTTCTCTTTTTAGGTGTTAGAAATAGATGTAATCTCAAATGCTCATCACCTCTAAAAAGCAAATTTTTAAGWTGTTAGACATATGAAAAGTGTTATTAGAACCTCAGCATTTTTTTTGGAAAATTTCTCAATGTTTTAGGGGAAATCCATGATTTTTGTAAATTTTTATTATTTAATTAATGATTTCTGAAGTTGTTAAGGTTGTGCATCGAAGCCACCACGTGGATGTTGTTGTATCCAGGGCTTAGACGATCTCTTTGGGACATGTTAGTGGATCGGCACACCACTAGGTGTCAACGGTATTTTAAAATCCAATTTCGAAGTCGATATTAAACATAATCGAATTGAATTCGGATAATTCAAATATTTAATCAATTGAATTCGGATATGACCTGATTCAATTCAATAAATATCCCAATTCAATCGATTATTTAATTCTTATATATAATATATAAAATATTTTATATAATTTATATATAATAATTAAGTTATATAAATAATTTATATATTTATATACTTTATATCAATAAAATATTTATTTTATATATTTATTAATTATCAAATATAATTAAATAATCGAATTCGAATTTGGATATTAATTTTCGATACCTATTGGATATCGAATCAAATTCGGATATCGGATTTTTTTTAATTGGATTCGAATTTAGATATTGGCTGATTTAATTCAAATTCGATCCATTTAAACCCCTACACACCACACACAGGGGTCAGCAGAACAAGCAAGAGCCTCGGAGGAAGCATGATTTTTAAGCATCCCTACAAGTCAAAGCAAAGCTAACCAAAGACCTTGGCGAGTGATCATCTCTCTTAAGCCCCGCGAGGGACATGTCCAAGTGAACCATGCCACCTAGCTATTTAAAGGCATCTCCTCCAAAGTAGCATGTTTGCCTCAGCTCCAGCTCATTTCTTACAGCACCAGATGTGTTTAAGATATTTTTAATTTGTTCGATGATAGAAATTCCAAATTTAAAATTCTTTAGATTTTCATTGGAATTTCTTATCATCGTTATTATCATTTATGTTTGTACTATTTTCTTTCTTTTTGTTTTCAATTACTCCATGTATTTTTTGAGATTTTTTAGCACTTCCCTAAAGTTTTTAGTGGATTTAGATTAATTTCAATTATTTCATGTAAAATTTTAATGGATTATCTTTTAATCACTTTGCAATTATATTACTAGATCCAAAATTTTGTTTTCTTTTCTTTCTTATAATTATTTACTAGCGGGGACCCGTGCTATGCATAGTATTTATTAAGCCAAAGCTAAATAATAGAAAGGGTTATTTACTAAAATACCCCTTATAGTTTCATGGATTTATTAAAATCTATCCTATAGTTAGCATTTTACTAAAACACCACTTATAATTTACAATGGATTTAATCAATCTTCCATTAGATGACAATGGAAAATGACAGTCTTGACCCTAATGTTCATTTAAATAAATTTAATAAAAAAAATAGAGATATCATTTTTGCCCTGAATAAGACACAAACAACTACTATATTGGCTATATTTGGTCAATTTTATTTTCTATACAAAAAAGGTTTTAAGGGTATTTTTGGAATGAAAAATCATGGGCCTAATGGCCAAACAAACACTCTTTATTGAAAGGTTGATTAAGTAAATAAGTTATAAAATATATGGGATGTTTTAGTAAAATGAAAACTATAAGGTAGGTTTAAGTAAATATGTAAAATTATAAGGTGTGTAGGGATGGCAACGGGGCAGGTTCAGGGCTAGGATCATATTCCTTGTCCTCGACCCCGATTTTAAAATTAACCCCCATCCTCATCCCCGAAGGGGATGGGTTCCCCGTGAGGACCTGAATCCCCAAATTTTTTTCAAATAATAGTATTTTTTAAAATAAATAAAAAGTTTTAATTATAAATAATATTTTAAATATGTTTTGATACATATAATATAAATAATATAATAGTATATTTAATATAAATAACATTTAATATATATATATATAAGGGCAAGGCGGGGACCTCAATCCCCATCCTCGACCCTGTCCCTAATTAGGGATTCCTATTAATCCCCGTCCCCATCCCCACCCCGCCAAAACAATCCCCATCCTTGGCCCCATTGGGTTGGGGAAGTCGGGTCCCCGTCGGGGATGAGGAAAATTGTCGTCCCTAAGGTGTGTTCTAGTAAATGACCCTAATAGAAACACATAAGAGTATAAAATTATTTTATATTTTCAACTTTTAAATAATTAATAATTATTCATCTTTGATATACTACTTTTAATAAAATTTTTATAATACAAAAATAACAATAATTAAATTCAGTTAGGTTTATTCATCAAACTGATGAAACCGATCAACCCGATTAACTTGACCCGAGTTGGTCGGTTTTCTAGTTTATTAGGTTGGATTTGGTTAAAAAAATTCCCAAATCGGCCAAGTTGGATCAGTTCACTTTAGCCATTTGAAAACTGACCAAAATCGAATGATTATATTTTAAATATAATTTTTAATATGGAAAAGTGGGAAATTTTCCATATTTCCTAGTCTAAAATGTCTTATATCAAAAATCTAATTTTTAAATTTATTTTTAATATTTGCACTAATTTTTAAAATTAAATTAAATTTTTAAGTTTAAATCTTTTGAATCGACTGACCAAACAGAAAAACCAACCCAAACCGATACAACTTGAGTGGGTCGGTTTTCACAAAGGGTTAGTCGGTTTCAGGTGACCAACTCCCTAACCTAACCAAGTCAATTTAGTTGGCCCAATAGCCTATGACTGAACCGAATCAACTTATGAACGCTCATAATTTCAGCTAAATTAATAGTCTCATCTCTAATAAATAACAATAGTTTAATCTCCAATAATTATTGAAAATTTATAACAAAAATACACAATTATTGAAATTATATTGATAAAGAAATATACAATAATTACATAAATTACAAAAATACAATAAGTACTAAAAATATATTAACTTTGTCAATAATTTGTATAATCCCTAATAAATATTAATCAATAACTTATAACAAAAATACAATGAATACAATAAGTACAATAATTTAAATTTAAAAAATTCAATAACAGTAATTTAATCTTCAATAATTATTGAAAGTTTTTTGTTAAATAACAAAACAAAATAAATTTATACATAATCATTGAAATATATTTATCACAAAAAACAATAAATAAATACTTAAATACATTAAATATTAATTTTAGTATATATAATTGTATAATAAATACAGATTAAGAGTTTAAAATTAATATTAATAAATATTAATTTTTTTGAAAGTTATTTTCACGAATTATTACTTGATATAATGAAATTAATTATTTACAATATTATTTAGAAATACTAAATTATTATTACTTTCAATATTATGTTATAATTATTTTTCTACTTTTTAGATTTTTTAAAATCTATTACATGATTTCTTTATTTTAACTATTTAAAACCTAGTTATGTTAAATGTATTGTTATTTAATATATTTAGTTATTTAAATACTTAAATAATATGTAAAATATTTAATTTTAAAATATTAATTATTTATTGAATATAACTATTCATAAAATCATAATTTATACTATTATTACATAATTTCATTATTAATTCTGTAATATATTAAATTATTATTAGTTTCAATATTATATTATAATTGTTGTTCTACTTTGAAGAAATGTTTAAAATTTATTACATAATTTTGTTATTTTAACTATTTAAAATCTTGTTATGATAAATATTTAGTTATTTAAATATTTAAATAATCTATAAAACACTTACATTTTTATTATTTGAATTTTATTTATTTAAAACTATTACATATTATTAAATATTTGAAAAACATTTAAATTGGTAATTTGAAAAAACATAATTTAAATTGTTAGTACATAATTTCATGATATATTTTATAAAAATATAAAATTATTTTTTGTGTATTTAATAAATATTTTAAAGTTATTATATAATTTTGTTAGAATATTTAAATAATTCTTAAATTTTTTTAATCCAAACTTTCTTTAGATAGATATAGATAAAAAGTAGGGAAAAAGATAAATAGGAATTATAGATAATTT